TAAAGTTTTAAATATGATAAATAAATACCCAATAATATAACTAGTTTTAAATATTATAAAACAGTAATAATAAAGATAAAATTCTTCAAATCATGTTATGTTTTAAACTGATATATGATAACACCATAAGAAATAACTGCTGTTAATGCCGAAATCAACAAACTTCTGTCTATGGTAAACATCTTCCAAGCAGTCAAGACACAGGAATTTTTCATTTTATGATACACGGCATAGTTTAAACCAAACTGACCAAAATAAGCAGGATTTGAAAAAAACTCTTCAATGCTTTTAATGCATTTTCTCTGAACAAAATCACCCATTAATATGAGCACAAAAATTGAAATTTTCATTTGAATGTTTAAAATTGCATATCCAGTTTTGTTGTATGACAGACTGCGAGGTGAAAGCAATAAAGTAGTTAGGTTGAAAAGACTCAAAGTTGATTTACATATCAACCAAAGAATAGAAAGTGACATACAATCTTCTAGCATTTCTACCGACTTTACAAGATGCTTTAAATACCCCCACGAGTTTGTATGAAACCTCAGAAACTTTACATGATTGTATTGAGTATCATTTTTGAGAAGCATGCTGCAGTAGAGAATAAATAAAAATATTGTAACAGCACAGATTTGGATGTCGCTAAAACACGAAGTAAAATCGATTACGAAAGTTACTAATAAACTTTTTGGTAACGAATTTTCTTTTATGTCAAAATGAGTACAGAAAATTTCAGAAAAATTATCCCTGTTTATCGCGAAATAAAACTTGTCAAAAGTGTAAGGAATAATAGGATGCAAAATTGGAGAGATTAAGAACATCAAAATGACAACTTTTTTTTGGTACTCATAGCTTGTTCTTCTGCTTATGTATTCAGAAAGCAATAATATGTTTTTTCGTTTAAAAAACATATTCCACCAAAGCAGTCCGCTGAATATATCTTGAAATATTATGCTTAAATAGAAATCGAATGCATGCTCTCCTTTAGCTATACAAAACAAATACTTGGAAATTTTGGTGATTTTGTTCACATTAAAGTACAATGCCAACGACCAAGTAGCCAGGCATGACTTTTTCGCAACAATTCCAGCAGACATTAGCAAATAGTACGTAATGTAAGAAATGAAGGCATGATGCTTTGGAATAGTCAGCGACATTTTGTATCAAATGTTTTTCTGATAATCTTAATATAGTTCTGATATAAATATTAAGATATTATTAACAGACTCAACATGAGATTTAACATTTTTATATGCATGTTATTATTAACAACATCATCTACACATCAAATGCCACTGTTTAGAAATTACAAAACTATTTTGGTGCTGATACCATATAATTATATTAACATAAAACTATTTGAGGCACTATATGTCTTAAATCTACAAATGTTTACAAATGCTCCAAATCTGCAAATAATTATTGCCAGCATCACATGAATGTCATCACTAACGGCAAAAATATCAACAAAACCATTAACAGCAACGGCAGATTTTTTTTAACACATATACCAGATAATTATGTTAACACATTATCTATTGTTGTAATTTTTACAAAGTTACATCCACTTTAAATTGAGATATTTTTTCTTTGAACAAAATTGAATTAATCTTCATACAAAATTCAATTCAAAATTTTTGTTGTTAACTTTCCGAAATCAATAAACTTTCATAAAGTGCGTTTTCTTCGAATTCTTTATTCATATTTTTATTATTTTATTCTCAAGGAATAATTATTTCATCCACTAATAACTTAAGATGTTCAATAAACTATAACTCAATCATTTTATAAATGGTTTTTATTGCATTTATAGTAAAATAATTTAAATTTCCAATTTATAAAATGCTTCGACTTAAAGTAATTATTTTTCATAATTACTTAAAAAATTTGAAATAAATATTTTTCTCGTATAGTGGAAGGGCTAAATCAATCTATAGATCCATAACGCAAAGTGTTTTAGACATTATCATAAAAGCTTTATGAGTTATGTTCTCATTGATTTAATATCCTGCTTTCGTTAATGTTCACACTTAAATCCGCAATTCTTAAAAAAACTAAATAGCAGTAGAAACACAGAAGAAAAAAATACAAATATAATAATGTAGTTGAAGCAGTTTAGTGATTATGAGCAGTGCGACAAAAAAAGAACAACCCTAATTTACTTTTGATTTATTGATCGGATCTTCACGCTCTATATTTTGTGTTGAGGAGATTAAAAGTTATAAAAGAGATTACGTATTAAATGTCCGAAAAGATTAAAAGAAAAAAACAGCATGAATCATTAGAATTTAGAACTAGTTTTCATGATGCATAGTGCAGTACTTAGGGTTTCGCAGCAGGTCCGGCAGAACCAGTTAAATGAAAACTTAAACATATTTAAGTCAAAAAATCATCACTTACCCAAAATTACTAATTAGAATAAGGAAAGTAAAATATGTTAAAAACAAAACATTGAAATTTATTATTGAACTTCATTCTAAAAAGAATCACTCACACATCCAACAAAAATATCAGGCCTTGCCAGTTACTCTCAACGAGGCTAGGTAACTGACGGATTTCAAATCCTGGCTTACATTTGCGGGAAAGCTAAAATTATTGGTTCGATAAATGACTGTGTGCCCAATCAGTACTTAATACTGAAGTTAACTAAGCCAAATTTGGCAAGAAAGGGATTAAACTAAGGCCAAAAATGGGTTCGCCGAATTTGTGACGAAAGTCAAAAAGGAATATTCGAGAAACTTCGGTTTTTGCAGACAGAGTTAAATGAAAGTCACAGGTGGATCTGCAGGTGCTAAATTGTTTGGGGAGCTGTTGACAGCTAAATTATAGTTAGTCTTAAACTAGTGATGAGAGAATCCTCATGCGCAAAAGATCACACTGAAAAGGATATTTGGTTTAAGCCAGTGAACAGTATGATGGCAACATCAAAAGATACTAAGTAATGCCAGGAATAAAATTGAGAAGTAAAAATAAGAATATTGTTAATTTTCTTAATAAAAATTAAACTAAGAATTAATCCACATTAATCATTTGAAATAAAATAAAAATACTAATACAAAATAAAGAATTATTTAAACAATAACCAATTATTTGAAATATTTTAACCCAATATTGTGGAATTACATATTAAAAAAATAAGTTTAGTTAGATGTCATAATTGTTTGCACAAAGTTCATTAAAAGGGTAGCAATTAAATCAGAGCAATTTTTCTTAATTGAAGACTATTATTTTAACAAAATTAAACCATATTAAAGTATGTAATTAAATTAATGACACAAATTACAAATTACTAAAGGCGTGTATTTTAAGTAGCAAAGGTTAAATATAACAAATATTTTTGTTATCAGACAAATGTTCATATGTAGTATACAATACCAAAACACTCAATCTTAATAGCTTGAGGATATAACCTTAAACATGTTAATTAATTGCTGTAGACGATATTATAAGTTACGAAAACAGACACAAAAACGTACTTTCTCTGAATGAATAAACAGACCTTTTTTAGACGGATTTGGATTTCTGACTCCCAAAATATAGCCGAAATCTGAAAAATATGATCCACACAATATGGTCAGGAGAGCGATCTAAAGTTTGCACCCCTCAATGTTAATTATATTTTTTACGTATTTCACTATATCTGGAAAATGTTTTGCACTCCACTATAAAATTCGCTTATCCAAAGATAATTCCATGCAAGAAATAAATTTTAGTAAATATTTATTATTTTTTATTATTTTATTTAATAATAGTCGAAGAAATGTCGAATTGTGAGGTATAAAATTTTTTTACGTTATTTTAAAATGTGTAATTTTACGTGACAAAATACAAAATTTGATCGAAATCGGTTGAATAGCTCCTCAGAAATCAAATTTTTTTAAAAATTCGTATATTTATAATTCGATTGAAATATGATAAAAAAAAGGTATGTTTATTCAGGGAACGCACGTTTCTGTGTCTAATTTCGTAACTTAAAATATCGTCTTCACTAGTTGATTAGCATATTTGAGGTCACCCTCTGAAGTCCTAGCGCTTTAAGATTCGATCATTAGATCAAAAGTTATTAAAGGTGATTCGTTTTTTTTTGGTGAACTGTACATTAGTATTTCATTAAGTTATCTTTATAAAATTTGAAATTAACAAGCTAAAGACTTTAAGTCAGTACTATAACATTTTTCACATAACTATCAACTTATGTTAAATACATAGCAACAGAGTCTTCTCATCTTACTCGTAAATATTTTCATAAAATTTTATTTTATTTTAAGCTATCAATTAGTTTAGTTCTTACTTGCAGCTTCATTGTTCGAATGAAAAAGAACAGATTAATGAGGATAGTTTTAGGATTATTTTTAGTGAACTGAGATCATAATACTACACGCATCGTAATATTACATGGGTTTTTTTCTTTTGCTCCTCTGCAAATTATCTTCATTGGTTTTTATTTAGTACAATATACTTGAAATTTCCTCTGCTTTTCTCCGTGACTTAACATAACTAGATTTTACAAAGGAAAAAAAAAGTTTTAGAAATTTACTACGACAGTGGAGACAACTCGAAATGCGTGTTTCCGAAAATCAACACAATTCAAAATGCATATTACATCCGGAATTACAAGTTTTGCATCCGGAAAATTTTTGTATATTTTTGTTTCCATTTTAAGAAATGAGAATTAACCCATCGAGGGAACATTTTAATTTAAAAACCCTAGTTAAAATGTTCCTTTAACGTCATCCCTCTCAACGTGTATTTTATTAGTAAATTCATTTAATTATTCGTTATTTTTCAAAGCTGCTGATTCAATTCATCTTTGATCTGCAAAAAAGTAAAGAATTGACTTACTGCCGAAAAAATATATAAATTGCACATTACCTTAAAAAATGCATAAAAATATTTTTTTTTTAAAAAATAATAAAATCTTTGTTTTAAGAAAAATCAATGCATTATACTATTTAGAAATACAAAAATTAACTAAAAAGAAAAATATAGCTTTCGTTTAATCCTTGTTTAATGCATCACCAATACAATAATATAGATTTTTATGCATGTTACACATGTTATTTCTACAACAATTACCTTAGAAGCAAAAAATAATGTATAGATTTTTATACATGTTACATACGTTATTTCCACAATTATAAAATATATAAAAAGCAAAAAACAGGAAAAAAAACAATAATATAGATTAGAAAATAGGTCAGAATAAAGTTAAGAAAAAAATAGAGTTTTAAAGATATAGGTTAGAAATACGTCAGAAAAAAATTGTTTTTAAGAAAATATCTTATTCTTAATATATTATGTTTCATAGACTCATTTATTTTAAAGCTTGGATCTTTCATCTCTCTTAAATATCTGTTAAAGGAATTTTATTTTTAAATAAATTCATATTAATATTCCGTCTGTGTTGAGATTAGAAAAAAAATTTTATTTTAACAAATATTTTATATATATATATCATAAATTTATGAGTTTTGCTTTATATTGCATATTGTACTATATAAGTAACTTTGCTGATTCCTATGTGTATCATATCTTACTGTGATTATAAGTTTTAGTGTGACTGAAAAACTAAGATCGTAGAGTGGCTACTTTACACCAATGTAAGTAAAAAAGAAAATTCTAGATGCATCGCTACACCAAGAACTATCCTCGTTTAGGTGCAGTGTAAAGCTTAATTAAACACCAAAGTGGTGAAAAGTACTAAGTACTGAAAGCGTTACTAAATAACTAACGTGGTAGTGGCTGCTTTACACCAAGAAGTAAAAGAGAAAATTCTAGATGTATCGCTACACCAAGAACTATCCTCATTTTGGTGCAGTGTAAAGCTTAATTAAACACCAAAGTGGTGAAAAGTACTAAGTACTGAAAGCGTTACTAAATAACTAACGTGGTAGTGGCTGCTTTACACCAAGAAGTAAAAGAGAAAATTCTAGATGTATCGCTACACCAAGAACTAACCTTAGAACTTAATTAAACACCAAAGTGGTTAAAAGTACTTGCTGCCATTTTTGGTGTTCAGATACACGGAAGTTTTTTACAGTATAGATATGTTTCAGTGGTTGCCACACAAGCTTCTAATGTAAACAAAAAATTAACTACTGAAAACAAGTTGTGAGTCCTCCATCTGTAGTTAAAATGACTCCATTAATGAAAGATGCATAATCACTCAGTAGAAACAATATAGGAAAGGCAATTTCATCGGCATCTAAAAAGAATTTAATTAAAATAAGAACTGGAACTAGATATTAATTAAATGTTGATAAATATTTAAAAGTTCATGTTACTTAAAAACAATAAAAACTTGAAGTCAAGTACTACATTTTTCTTTTTAAATTGTCAATTATCTTATACTGTTCTAAAATATTTCAATTTCACTCTTTGTTACTTACTCTATATGCCTCACACTCATACATGAAATAAAATGTATAAAATTAATGCATAAAAAAATTAACCAAGTAATTTTAATTGCTTAAGCAGATACAAGTTTCGCTGATAGTTGTGCATGAAGTCAAAAATTGGTTGAATGTAATGAGTCTTTTCCAAGTAATTAGACATACCTTTATTCCTTCATTCGGTCATATTTATTCTAAAAATGACCGAATATTTCAAAAATCAATTATAAAATGGAAGTGATAGATATCTGCAGTTTGTTGTGTTCTGTCTAAGTAACTGGTTATTTATTCACTCAAAGCTTCATACTTAGTTGCAAAGTTTGTAGACAGAGGGTGCTTCCATCTGAAGAAAACTATAATACAGGGTCTTCTGCTACATATCCAACTAAAATATTTGCACAGGCCTCAGTAAATTTTGTCCTCAGACTGCACAACATTGTTACTGTTGATGGTGATTGTTTTGAATTTTTTTTATCCCTTTAAGTTGTTGTTTTCGTGTCCATGGATCTTCAGATCACACCAAAGATCTGGGCTGTAGCGGTCGCCAGCTTCAACGCCTCTTGACTGTAGAGAACAGCTCTTAGATTGTCCTCAATTGGTACCCATCCCAATTTCAAAACATATGAGGTGAGTGCGTGGCTCTCGAAAATATGTTTTGGTGCCAACATGACATCCAGGCAGTTTCTGTAGGGAACGTATGTCCTTGTCGGCCGTATTGTCCGGGAGAATTTTCATCCCTCTGAAATGATTGGTTCTAAGTCTTGCTTTCTCTTTAAGTACCTTCCGAAACTTCAGCAGTGTGTTTCTGATAGTATAGCAACAATTTGTGCTGAAAAATGCGATGCTGAGAACGACTGAGCATCTAGCATTTACAAAAAGAAGCTGAAGCACCACTTAAATTAATTTTATATACCAAGAAACAGTTTAAAGTTATTTAAAAAGAGTATTTTCATTGTTCTTCAGAATAAAATAAGAATTTTATTCATTGATATTGCAACAAAATATAAAATACAGGTATTATTTCAGTTTGTAAAAATGAAGCATTGGGGAAAAATATGTATATTTTTACAAGTTATATTGCATAAATGTAAAAAATTTGGCACACCTAGATAAGTATCTGAAAAAAAAATTTTCTGCAATTATTAAAATCCAGTAAAAAAAAATGAAAAAATTTAATTACGGTTATTAAGTATATGATTAATGAAAACGAAAAAGAAGTTTATAAAACCCTTATTGTCAATGCACAAGAAAAAAAGGAGAGAAAAAACTAATTATCTCAGCGTTCGCCTTGGTGTTTTTTGGGAGCTTAAATTAATTCCGGAATTTTAGATTAGAAACATCTAGACTAATAATTCCAGTCTTCTCTATATTACTTTGTGAGACACGAGGTGGCTCAGGGTACAAAGTATTCGTCTCACAAAGAGATGCCCCAGGTCCGAATCCTAGAGGTGGCTTGCTGACACGAATTCTGCTCCTGGCTTTCCCCGACTACATTGCTGATGTAAAATATTATCGATAGACGACTCATGGGTCAGAATCTTCTCACCGTTGGGCTAACCATAGGATGTTTAGTGGGTTTAATCTCCATGTAACACAAATGCGGGTTAATCCCATAAAATATCCTCCACGAAGGCTATTTTCTTTAAAATCTGGATCCAGGAGTTCCTTTGTCTTCAGGGTTGCGTTTACAATTACAAAGATTTGGAGTTGAATATTGATAACCGTAAACTGACGTTTGAGTCTGATGTTCAGCGCCTGATATAATCAAAATAATTTAGTAGGATAACAGTAAATAACGAGAAATTCAAAAACAATTTTATGCAGGGTCTCTACGCTTTGAGAAAAACATAATTGTTTAAATCGCTCAACTGTTCAAAAAATAATAAACTTACTTCCTAGTCTTTTTAAAGGCGTTTTCTCTATCAGGGCCTTTCCCAGCTCGCTGTGAGGATCAAAGAGATGTTCTGACATTTGAGTATGCATCACTACTGGTTTCACAGCATTTACTCGGATCTGAAAAAGAACAAATTTCGAAATATACGCACAACATGAATCAAGCTAATAACGAAATATACCGGTACCTAAATCATAACAATTTCATGTCATAAACTTCCAAAGAATCAGTATAGAATGACAGCTACATTCCGTAGATCCATAGTATATGTCTTCAATACTTAAACAGCCGTTGTGATGAGTTCAGTCAGCATATATAACGGCTAGCGTAAAATTTTGATATCCAAATCAAAGGCTAAGTCTTTTATGTAGTAAATGTTGACTGATGTACGTTAAATCTGCCGAGTCGTTAAGTCCTCCATGTTCCCATAACAAACCAATACCTCTGGGGGTACTGATCCAGGAGTTTCCTTGTCTTGTGGATTGGTTCAGAATTACAAGGCTACGGAGTTGAACATCAGTAGTCGGAAACCCAAATATTGAGTCCGCTATTCAAAGATGGATATAAGATACTATAGAATATGGGCCCGGATAGCCTGGTTGGTAGGGCACTGTGTCCAAGAGTTCGTGGGTTTGATCCCCACCGGCCAAAGACTCCCCTTGTAGTAAATGGTGACTGATGCAAGTTAAATCTGTCGAGTCGCTAAATCCTGCAAGTTCTCATGACAAATCATGCCTCAGGGGGTACTGATACAGGAGTTTCATTGCCTTCGGTATTGGTTTAAAATTACAGGCTACGAAGTTGAACATTAGCAGTCGTAAACCCAAAATAGGGTCAGCTGTTCAACGACGGATATAAAATTAAAAAAAATACAATATAATAGAATAAATAAAGTAGAAAATAATGTATGGGTGCACAATTCGCTAGTTTTGTATTTATTTTGCATTTTTGTAAGCTTCATTTAAATTTGTTTTTTACTACTATATAAGAGTCATATTATACAAAAATTCTCTAACGCATCTAAAATTATTTATAAGGAAAATTACTTGACCCAAAACGTGCAAAATCTGGTGGTAAGCTGAAAGCAGAATTCCCAGTGTTTAGTCCCCAAGCATGCTTGGTATTCATTTTATCGACTTACTGACGGGATGAAAGACTGAGACAATCATGCCCGGTCTGAGAATATAGCCCCGAACCTGTGGCATGAAAGCACGAAACGCTACCATACAGAGACTAATATCTGAATCTCTCAATCAAGCGTACTATTAAACCATTAGAGCAAAAATGTTATAAAATTATAAAAACATAAAATTACAAAACTTGGGCATACGTGATGGGGTCCAAGTTCTAATGCCATGCATCTGGTCAATTGATCCACAGAACATTTACTTGAAGAGTCGATACTCATTCCAATGTTAGAAGTCTGAATCAAAGACATGCTTGATACATTCACAATTGATCCACCTTTCCCCCGTTCCTTCATGTCTTTTACTACTATCTGAAAATAGAGAATACAAATATAAAAAACTAAATATGGCAAAAAAGCATTTTCTAAGTAATAAAAAAGTTAAAGTATGCTTTTATATTAGACGAAGACATATAATTATGAACTATATAGTAACGAAAAACGATTTGTGGTTTTCATTTAAATGGTAAGGGTGCTTTCATTGTCATTTAATTACAAACCATTCAGTAATGAAAAATGATTTGTTGCTTTCTTTTAATAATAAGTGAGCCTTCATTTTCAGATAATTACAAACCATTCAGTAACAAAAAATGATTTGTAGCTTTCTTTTAAACGGTAATTGCGCTTTGATTGTCATATAATTACAAACCATTCAGTAGCATAATAGGAATTGTAGCTTTCTTTTAAATGGTAAGTGTGCTTTCGTTGCCGCAGATAGAACATCTATTTTTAGAAAAAAAATTATTGAGATTGTTTCATGAGTCGATGGCCATTTTTGCTGTAGAAAGTAACTTAAGTCACAGAACAGATTGGCATTTTGAAATATGTATTAAGTAATCATGCGTCAATTTAGGAAACTTCAATTAAGCAGTAGATTAAAAATAAAAGAAAACTTTGAGGAGAAGGTAACTCATGTGATGTACATTTGATACACCAGAAAAGATAAGAGTTAGACTGTACTGAAGCATTAAGATTCCATTTGAAAAACATTTTCATGAATGGAAAACTATACTTGAAGTCATCCTAATTTAATTTTCCATGATTGGAACATATGAGACTAATACGATAACATTTTTACTCGTAAATTCGAGTATTCTCATAGTCTCACAATGTGTTCTTTCTTTAACTTAGTAAGGAAAGAGCATTTTTCAAACATTTTATTTTCCCTCAAAACATTCCAAATCTTTTTTAGGAATTCAAGATTAAGGTGATCGTTAAAAATTTTTTTTAAAAATTGAATCACTGATAATTTATGATGAATATTTTGTGCTACTTGCAAATCTCCTAAATGTAAAGTAAATTAATTTTCCTTAATGTCAAAAAGTTAAAATTGGTTTAAGCTATGGAACAGAAATAATATTTTCACGTGATATTAAATTTAAAAATATATATATAATTCCGTGATATTTCCTCAAATTGATGAAATGTTTCTTTGGAATTTCCCAAAGTAATGGTTCCGGGAAAAATGGAAAGAAAAATATGAAACGTAAGTATCTATTTTTTACAGTATTGGTTATGAATCATTCGATACAAAATAATAATTGATGGAACAGCATATAAATAAGAAAAGGAGTAACATGATTATTGCTTTTTTTAGATAAAAAAGATGAAAAATGCTGTAAGATAGATGGCCGAAAGTACAGATTAACGAATTTTTTATCTTACAAAACAACCATAAATCAATTATAAACATTTTATAAAACCTTTCCTAAACATTAAATAAAAATTTATTAGAAAAATTGTAGAAGAAAATGTAATTTGTAAGATTTAATCGGTATTTTTTATTGTTTATAGAAATTAAAAATTACTAAAGATATTTTCACATTCAGAATTTAAAATAAAATACTTTGTGTATTTTTTATCATACAAATTAGCAACATATTACTGAATGTATAATGTTTCATAACTCACAAAATTTTAATTATAACTAGATAAATAGTTCGGAAAATCATGAGGAATAATGATAATTCAAAACAATAGAAAATATAAGAATATTTACTTGAGAAATGTTTATGATGGCTTTCAAATTGACATTGTAAGTTCTAAAAAAATAAAATTTTATGTTATGCATTAGAACTATTTAAATTCATTACATATTTTAAGAAGACATTAGAACTGATATTAGCATTTATTAAAGCATTATTAGTATTTACTAGGAGGCTCCGCCCCCTGCTCGCTTACGCTCGCCAACCCCCGAGAATAGCCACGCAATCCTATGTGGTTCACGCCGTGAACCATGGCTCGCTGCGCTCGCTCGCCAATGAACACAATGTTCTAGCACAAAGACATAGTATATTATCATCAAAGACATAGTATTTTATCATCAAAGACATAGTATTGTA